CCAGCAGGATCCAGGGGAGCCCTCACGATGAACAGTGTCGGTGAATGAGAGAGAGACAGTGAGACAAAGCTCGGGGCCAAGTCTGACGTTTATTTTTGCACGGCCCCTTTATACCCTTAACAACATCTTTTTTGGGGGAAGTGCATATCGCTTACACACAGGTCATCTCAAAACATTACAGCAACTTGACCTTCAACAGAAACAGGATGTCACCCACATACTTTTCATTCACAAGAGTCTTTCTTATCATTTGGCCTTCAGGCCTGCTAACATTTTATGGCTTGCACCTAGTGTGACTTAAGCAACTTCAGTAGCCGACCCTGTTTTTCTTATAATTAACCTATTTTCTTTCTAATAGGCATCATCTCTATGAGAACTAGATAGGATTACATTTTTACAGAACAGAAATGCGAAGGACTGCAAAAACAGCAGATATGGCACAAAACAGGCTCTTAGTCTAAAAGCTAACTACCTGCAAGAAGTGGCCAGCTAATCTCTATCTAAAGTATTTTCTATTAGGCACATTTGTGGCTTTTATATTTGTGGAGCTTTTCTCACCCCGCGGAGTGACCTATGCTTAATAGTTTCTTTTGTTAGTGTACTGCGCTTGGGATGTTTAGAACAATCATGAGCATTTTTTGCAATGAGAGCACACATTTATCAAACAAGCCAGAATGCCAGCAAAAGGGTTTGAATTGAAGCATTTCCTTCATACCTGGCCCCTTCATAGGAGTCCAGGAGATTTATTAATTAGGGTTTTAAGTTGGTCTTTATTCCTCTTTACTCCTCTTTAAGAAAGAGGAGCAGGAGAGCTCTCGGCAGGCAACACAAGAATCCGCAGCAGGGTGAACAGGAACAGCAGAAAAGGGGGGAGGATACAGGGTGAGGCAGAGGCCGAGGCCAACCTGGAGGGTCCCTTATCCTGGACGGCCTTGCCTGTCACATGACCTCGTCATGGATGGGATTCCGGATGGCCTTGCCTGTCCGGTGTTTTCTTCATGACCTCGTCACGGGCGGGACCTCCCCTAATGGCTCCCGGCATTTAGGATTAAAGGAAAATAAAACATAGGCCTACTCTCAAGCTTATAGTCTGGTGGTAGGGAGAACAAACAGATAATTAAATTCACTGAGTAAAGTATGGTAAGCTTAAGCATGAATGTAAGAAAGCACAAATAAAAGAATGGCAGTTTGCCTATTTTAGTGAAGAATCAGAGGAAAGCTTCCTAAAGAAAGTTAATCTAATATAAAATATGATTTAATGGAGAATAGTGAGTAACATCAGGCAAATCTACAAGTAGAAATATATGTTGAAATAAACCCTACTACCCTGGTTCATAAATATATGTTGTGTGTGTACTATGTTGGCTTATTGAAAAGAGTTTAGGTCATAGATCATATAATATTTCTCAATGGTAGAATTGTGAATGATTTTTGTTATCTTTTAAATACTTTTCTGTATTTCCCAATATATTCACAAAATTTTAATTATATCTAAATATACATATATATGACATTTATGATTTTTTTAGAAAAAACCCAAATATATTAAATGCACTGCTTGAAATAACACCAAAATGCAAAGTCATCTACTAATAACAACTACTATAAAGTACACTGATGAAAGTGTTTCAACATTGAGAAGGCAATTTTGGTATTGAGCAATTGAATTTTGAGCTGACTATGAAAAGTACTTTCGGAGGAATGAAAGATTAACACATATAGCAGGCTGCTTTATATACTGACAATCATAAAACTGGAAGAACGATTACACATTTCTGTAATTGCTCACCTAAAACATTCGGAACTCAGAATTTTTTATACTTTAGAAAGGCCCTGTAACACTTGGGGCATTATCCTGTATTCTAACACAGTTATATTACTGAAGTGAAATGTGTTAATATTCACACAATTGAAATAAATAATGTCCATAAGTATATTCACAACAGTTCATGTTAGCTTTGTTGTTTGCTGCTAATGCATTTGGGTATCAGACTTATGAAAATTAAAAATATATATATATATGTATTTTTCCAGATGTTTTAGAATATATGAATTGTGAAGTGTTGTGTATCTACCAAAAAAAAAAGAAAGAAAGAAAAGGAAAAAAAAATTTAGAAAGCTCTTCCAAAGAAGCAATTAAAAAGCCATTGATATTGGTAAGAACTGGTAAAGGAATGTTTGGATGGTTAGTTTAGGGTGTGGTGTGGGCTGTCTACTCTGACACTGGATGATTTCAGAGTGATATTCTCTGCTATAGTGTGATGCTCTTTAAGAAAAATATTTTTCTTTCTTGTTTCATAATTCTTCATTTCGACCAGCCTTTCATAGCTGCTATACAAGCCCTCTTTCCTCTCTAGGCGTAGTAATGTCTGGACTCAAAAACATAAATATTGAAAAATACTGTTTGGTATTTTATGTCATTCCCTGGAGTCCTCAAAGAGTACTGTGTAACCTCATCTAGAACATGCCCAGTTCTGTGACAGTTTTTCTGCCTCACCCTATTCCTACAATTCTTACCTAAATCCACAAAATTCTCTTACGNTTAAATTTTTTTTTTTTTTTTTTTTTTGCTTACTAATAGGCTGCCTGACTAATAAAAATATCTTCCATTCTTAACCCTTTTTTTCTGTGATAAGGTATAGATATTTCATGTCTATACCTCGGGACTCTTGAACTTTTACATAATAGTTGTATTCTATTCCATTGAAGGGGTTATAACCAAAGACACATTTATTTGGCAGCAACATGAAGATGGAATATTGAAATCTGAAACACTGAATTGTGATATGATGAAATATAAAGGTTTCCCACAAAATTCACAAGGCCAAAAGAACTTCTGTGCTGTGATACTGGTCTTGAAGGCTAAAAAAATAAATGTTATTTCCATTTGCACTTTCTGTATTCTCATACATTGATTTTTCTCCACTTAAAATAGTGGCTTCAGGCATACATGTTTGTGTGACATTTAAGTGATTCCAGTGAGATATCAAAAACATCTGAATATTCTGTATAAAAAGGAAATCATGCAAATAATATGCACTATAAACAATAGGTGGCTATCATTGCTTATGGTTAGAGAAAAGTGGGTTGGGGTTTGGGCAAAGCAGAGTCACAGGGTTGTTAGCACTTGAGCTGAACAGAAAGCTGAAGCAAACATACCAGAATTTGGGAGTGGGGTTCACTGTCTGGTTTTCCAGGCAAGAATACCAGAGTGGGTTGCTATTTCCTTCTCCAGTGGACCACGTTTTGTCAGAACTCTTCACTATGACCTGTCCATCTTGGATGGCTCTGCACAGCCTGGCTCATAACTTCATTGAGTTATGCAAGCCCCCATCACCACAACAATGCTGTGATCCATGAAGTTACAATACTTTGGCCACCTGATGTGAAGAACTGACTCATTGAAAAAGACCCTGATGCTGGGGGGAAATGAAGGTAAAAGGGGAAGGGGATGGCAGAGGATGAGATGGTTAGATAACTTTACCGAATCAATGGACATGAATTTGAGCAAACTCTGAGAGATAGTGGAGTACAGAGGAATCAGGCATGCTGCAGTCCATGGAGTCACAAAGAGTCAGACACGACTTAGAGATTAAACAACAACTCCCTGTCTGCTAGAAATAGGAAGCTGGCTTAGAGGGAGGAGATAAGTGGCTTAGATCAGAATATCTGTTTGGTCCATTGAGCTTACACATAAATTTCTGAGTAGAATTAAAATTTCATCACCCTTTGTGTGAAACAAAAGTTAGGAGAATTCTCCCAATATCCTGTTAACCCTGTACTGAGGCTACTTTTTCAGAAAATAAATATTGTTAATAGAGGTAATTCACAATTGTCATATTAAAAAGCATCAAAACCACTGTGCAATCCTATGGTAACAAGTACACAAAAAGGTCAAGGAGCCTAACAGCTAGGGGGAAAATTAACAACTCAACAAACCAGGGCAAATAGAGAAAAATTTCAGTCCTGAGGCACAGTGGAGACACTGAAGAGGGGCATAGAATCAGAATCAGAACTGTATTAGACTGTCAAGGCCGTGGGAAAAATAATAGAAGGTGATGTGTGATTTTATAAATTTCACTCATTGGAGGTGTAACAAATCAGAACTTGGAAAGTTTCATTTTTGTTAAGGAGGAAAAGGATTAAAGGGAAAAAACAAAAAGAGAAGTTCAGGGCATGTATCCAGAAGGAGGCAGGGGTCTCTGGAGGTGATCTAGGAAATGAAACCAGCCAATTATTACTGTCAATTACTACAATTACAGCCAATTGCTACAATAATTACCCAGTTTGAAATTACAAATTTCTATGTGTGAACATTTGCACACACATGTGACTCTTCTGTTTACCAGCTTTACCAAAAAATCTTCAATTCCCACTGGGAAATTTGACCACAGAAATAAATGGTTTTGTTCAGCTGAATGAAAAATAAAATTATTGTCATTTGTTTTGGTCCTAAGAATTATCATTTTTAAGCAGATAATTAAATTGTTTAACTGGATGGACTAAGATGACTTCACTCTGTGTGCATTTAGCCTGTCTGTGCTTTTAATATGCACAAAAGTCCACATAGTAGTTTTAAATGTTTGAGGGCTGGGCTGTGCTGTACTTAGTCACTCAGTCCTGCCTGACTCTTTGCCAGCCCATGGACTGTAGCCCACCAGGCTCCTCTGTCCATGGGGATTCTCCAGGAAAGAATACTGGAGTGGGTTGCCATGCCCTCCTCCAGGGGATCTCCCCAACCCAGGGATCAAACCTAGGTCTCCCGCATTGCAGGCAGATTCTTTACCAACTGAGCTACCAGGAAAGCCCCAAATGTTTGAGGGACTAATACACAATTAATGTTTGCTTGTTTGAACTCTTTGATAAATTTAGGGGATTCTTGTCTTCCTACTTCTATAATTTAACTGAAATTGTCTTAGTAATTGCAGTGCCTGAGGATGACATGGATATAAATCCCTCTCCTACTTAAATATACTTTATGTACTGAAAATTTCTCCCCTTCAGTCCCACGATTCTCTAAGACCCCTCACGTTACGGCTCCATGAAACTTTAGTTTGAAATAGCTGGAGCATAGCCTGGCGGATCGCCCTGGTCTTCAAGCTGTAAATTATAGGGTTCAGTACAGGTGGTAAGATCAAATAAACATTGGCCAAAATGCTACAGATCACCCTCGGAGTAGAGCTAAGGAGGCGATGTGTAAAGGACAGGCTGATCATTGGCACATAGAAAATAGTGACAGCACAGATGTGACACACACAAGTATTGAGAGCTTTCTTTTGTTTCTTGGGGGCCACAATACTCAGGACAGCACGGATTATCAGGACATAGGAGACAAGAATGAACAGTAAGTCAGTACCAGTCATGTAGAGCTGAAGAAACAAGCCCAAAAAGCTGTTGATCCAGGGGTTGGAATATGTATCTCTGATTATATCTGGGTGATAACAAAATGGATGGGAAAGCTCCTTTCTTTCCTGGAAAGATACACTCTTCAAGGCTAGAAGCATGGGAAAGATGAAAATAAGTTGCCGTACGCATATGAATAGTCCGATCACCATGATCATCCTGTCTTTGAGGACAGTGGCATATTTCAGTGGGTTACAGATAGCCATGAAGCGGTCAAAAGCCATAACTGCCAGCACAGAGGACTCCAGGAAGGAGAAAGCATGTACAAAGAACATTTGAATGAGGCAAGCTTTAAGGCTGATCTCCCGGGCATGAAACCAGAGAACCCCAAGCACAGTGGGGAGGGTGGTGATGGTCAGACACAAATCAGCAGCTGACAGCATGAAGAGGAAATAGTACATGGGCTTGTGGAGACGCTGCTCAACAGAGATGACAAACAGGATCAGGCTATTTCCCAAGAGAGCAATGATGTAGAGACAGCAGACAGGGATGGAGATCCAGACATGAGCGAGCTCCAGCCCAGGGAATGCAGTGAGGAGGAAGGTTGAAGGGGAGGATGTGGTGTTATTGAAAATCATCATGGTGGGTTGAGGACACGCCCTGAAAAAAAAAGATAACAATAATAGTATTTGTCATATTGATCATTTTTCAAGCACTAACTCTTCTATAAACTCTTCCCAAATTGCACAAGTGTCTCTGTATTCAAAACCTCCAATTTGATTATGATACCTATCACATAATTCTACAGTATCTTAATTTTTTCTTATCAGACCTGGCCCTATTTTTCTTTCTCTACCATCTCCCAATTAAAACCATCTATCTCTCTAGGTTCATCCCACCCTATTGCCCAGACCAGCCCTGACTTGAAGTGGGAAATACTTATAGACTTATGTCACACACATGCACACATACCAACAAAACAACAACTGCGATTACAACTGTTGGGTCTTAGTATTAAATCTCCAAGCTGGGACTTCTTTGGTGGTCCAGCAGTTAAGACTATGAGCTTCTGCTGCAGGAACAATGGGTTCTATTCCTGGTTGGGGAACTAAGATCCCACATGCTGTGTGGTGCACTCAAGAAAAAAATTCTCCAAGCTATATGAGTTTTTACAGAAATAATGGAGAAGTGCTTAAGGGCAGTTTTTAAGGACACCTGTGAAAACATACTTCATAATGTTCTTGCTGGAAGATGGGCTAGGATTTTATATCCAAAAATACCCTTGTACCTGAATTATTAGCCATTCTCTCCTAGTAGACTCTATTAGAAATGTCCTTTAGGTATCAGAGCTTCTGTATTTTTTTTTTTCCTTTAATGGAGTAGCTTCCTTAATTCCTCTCTCCTCTACTCCACATCATATTGTGCTCTAATTCTGTTTCTCTGTATCCTTTTCCTAGTCTACTGAAATAACAAGACCTTGTCTTCCTTTTCTCCAAGCTTACACTTTAGTACTTCTTTCTACTCCTTCCCATAGGTGTCTACCATGTAACTTGTAACTAACTCACTATGAGTAGATGGCCCTAATGAATCCTGTGAAAATGTTCAAATAATATTGTAGAATACATGATTTTAAGCATCCTAATCTAGAGATAGTGGATAAGGCCAGACAAAATACTTGTATAAAAAAATGTGAGAGGCCCTCAGCAAAATGAGATGAATGACTGTAAAAAGCATTAATGGAATGGAAGTAGGGCCTAAGAGCTTAAAGACAGACACTCAGAGACAGACAGGATGAGGTGCTGTCATAAACTGGAATATCAGGTAGCTCACTGAGAAAGCCCATAGAGTAACAGCTGCAAACACACACACACATACACAGATGATGTCATAAGGAAGGCAGAATCTGTAATTGATATTTAAGACAAGCTTTGCAATTCTATTTAGGACTGTTTCAATGAGCACTACTGTCATTGCTCATTTTAATTTTTTTGGGAGAAGAAGGAGGGTAAGTTAAGAGAAAAGGAAAAGAATTAAAGTCTTTTATATGTGTCACCATTTGCTAGCCAATTTACATGTAATTTTATATAATACCAGGAAAAATTGATACAGATGTTTATTCTTCTATTTTACAGAAAGGAAATGAAACTGACAAGGTAAAATTATACATACACATTCACAATTCAAAGCCAAATTTACTAACTTCAAAATCCATTAAACCATTTTTTATTAAACCATAGACCATTTGAGAAATCAGGCTTATGAGAGAAGTTAGACAGTTGAACACTGTGATATTCTTCCTTGAAAATGAAAGAACAGTTTCTATTATACACTAGTATGTGACTTAGAGGAAGTATAGAGATGAGAAATAAGGAAAACACAGAACAATGTCCTTATGGCTTATTTAAAGAATATTTGTGGAATCATTCAGTTTATAGAAAAATATGCGTGGGTGTCCACATATATTTGTATTGTATATACCTCCACATGCTGGTGGATGTAGAGAGGAGTTTTAGAATGGGAATGTAATCAAAAGATGACAAAAAATCAGATATCAATTATCTTCTCTTATTTGAACTGTATCTCATAAAGGACAAAAAGATAATATGGAATGATATGAGGGGTTAGGAGGAGAGGAGACTAATTTCAGCTCATTATGCTACTGGAAAAATTGTTTCCAATGGGATAGGGATATGTAGGCAGGAGAAGGAGAAGGCTTTCTCTCCAACTCACGTAAGCCCATGCACTCTGGAGCAAGTTATAGGACAAAGTTCAGTACCTAGTTTTGTCAAGATTTTCTCCATACTATCTACTAACCAGAAGAGTAGTCTAGAGTATAGCACCAGTTGTCCACCTGACTGGTCAGGTGGAAGGTAACATCTATCAATTCACATACAGAAAGCTAGATTGAATGAATTGTATAAGATCCACCCAACTAAATAATGTAGTGATCCAAAGGACAGCATCACTGCTTACTGGCATCAGTAAAGTATAGACCAATCCCCACCTTCTTCTACTCGTTTCTCTACACTGAAATCTATTCTTTCCACCATCTGGAACCCTGTCGTGACAGATCTAGGACATATTAACCTGAAACTTTGCCTCCACTTCTCTGTACCACTTTATGGTTGGATCTTACATTTGACTCAATAGTGAGATATAGTTGATATCAGTAAGTTACATATGCAAGCACCATCTCCTTTTTCTGGCTCAAGTGTGAGTTTCTCAAAGGTTTGGAAATGCCTGATTTTCTTCTCTTAGTGCTAGCTACATAAAGGAGGGTATGGAATAACATAAAACTTTAATGATTGTTGACTGATTTCTAAATGATCTTGACCACAGGCAGAGAGTTATGAGATCTATCCCTTTTTATCTTCCTTCCTCCCATTCCCTCATGTCCTTCATTTTCCTGTCTCAATTTCTGCAAGGCTACATCACACCCCTCTGTTTCTTCATCCTACCTTATTTATAGTTTCCATCACTTCATTGATCTTCTCTTTTCCTCTTTCTCCTAGCATTTCTCACTTTTTAATCCCTTCCCTTCTGTTCCTACCCACTAAGGCATTCTTCTTACCTGCTCAAGTCATCAGGAAATAGCACCAACTTCTCTTCAGTTCCACCACAGAGCAGGGACTGAGCCAGCTCCCAAAAGTGGGGGATTTATAGGAAGATTAGTAGAGTCACAAGGCAACAGAGGGCTGGTGAACAAACTGGTTGGATCAAGAGTTATGGTGCCCATAAGACTATGTTCCTCTCCAACAGCTCAGACACATCTCCCTGACACAGCTTCCAACCCTGCTCCCAGGCCCAAGCAAATCCCATATATCAGGGGCTGCAAGCAAAGCCCTGGCCCTGGGGGCTGACATTAATGGGTGTCTTCAAAATCTGCCTGCCTGGGTCAGAAAAATGCAACCATTCCTCTTCACCCTGCCTTAGGCTACAGATTCTTAGCCCAGGATGCTCCCTGATGTCAGAACAAGCTCAGGAGAGTGCAGAGAGAGTCATCCCTATGTTCTCAGCTCCAATATGTACTCTAACAAATCTTGTTGTCCTCCTTGTCATTCCTATGTTCCTCTTCTTACTCAGGATCCCTTTGTAAGAAGCCATCTTATTAACTGAATCACATCTGCAGCCCACCTACCCTTCTAAGCATAATTAAACTAGTATTTGATGAGCTCATAACACTTGCCAAAAATCACACTAACCCTTGAAACACATTGTTGTATTTATTTATTATCTTGCTTATAGGTTAAGTATTATTCTCCATTATTCCATAGTTGAGGAAATTGAAACTCAAAGAGGTTTTGAATAACTGTAAAAGTTAGCTAGTTACAGAACTGGTATTCACCCATGTCTATCTTACTCTAAAGCTGTTAATCTTAAACAATATGCTATACTGCCTTCTTTGGTCAACCGCTTGCACTGATATTTCAGAAAATGTGATTGTAATACATGGTTCTCGATCTATCCATTCTATAGATTGCTTGGTTCTCAACTATGTGCTTATAGCTCATTTTAGCCTCATTTTGACAAGAATCTGTCTCTCCATAGTAGCCAGTAAATTAATAATTCTTACCATATCTAATGGGCTTCCCAGGTGGTGCTAGTGGTAAAGAACCCACCTGCCAATGTAGGAGACTTAAGAGACATGGGTTCAATCCATGGGTCAGGAAGATGCCCTGGAGGAGGGCTTGGCAACCCACTTCTTGCCTGGACAATTCCATGGATGGTGGAGGCCGGTGGGCTACAGTCCATAGGGTCCCTAAGAGTCAGACACAACTGAAGCGACTTAGCATGTGTGCACCATTTCTAATAATCCTTGACTTTTTATCCTTCTTGAAACATTTTTCCAACCATGTCTCATTATATTGTAGCCAGAGACACTGGGCAAAAATGGAGATACCTATCCTAATGTATATCTAGGGAGATTAAGTTATAGCATAAACTTTTTATACAGCAAGTAATGTTTAGATTTATATGTAAATACCATCCTTTCCCACTGGCTCTTCTCAGCAAAAATGAGTGATTCTGTAAATCTCAAATGAGACTTACTAAAATTAAATGAGACAGAGAAGTTAGTCAGCATGAAATCAATCTTGATAAAATAGAGTTTTCACTCATTCATTAATTCACAAAGGGCATATCTTATTAACTATATTAAGTACATACTTGAGATAGACAGATGTAGTATAAAAAGGGTCTCTTATGGTATGGTTCTTATGAAGTATGTAGACTAGCAGGAACACAATGCTATTAGGTAATTTGAGCACATATACTGTGAGAAACTCTAACATAATAAATGGCATGTCAGAAAAGTCTTCAGGACAGAAATAAAGTTGAAATTTATATCAAAAATTTATACAGATTTCCCTATTATTCTAGCTCACTGAATTCATCATGCTTTATACTTGCTATTTTATTTTTAGTATATTTCTCTCCTGCTTCCAACCCATTATATATGCCTACACTATTTTTATGAAATATATTTATAGAACATATAAATAAACACTAAAGGCAAAAGAAGACATATCCTATATGCAACAATGTATGTCAGCATGATTACAATGGAGCAAAAACAATCTGAGAGTTTTTCTTAACTAAGTTGTTAAAGATTGGCATGCAATGGGATACTAGTCAGCAATAAAGAGAAATAAACTACAAAG